AGTAAAAATATGGTGTTCAAACTGGTGATTTTCTTTCTGATGGTTCATGCTCGTCTACAATTAATTTCTTATTTCAGAGAACGTATGGTGCTCAAACTGGTGATTTTCTGTGGTGCTATTTCATTTTGAACGTATTTATTTTCTATGTTTCTAATTCTTATATCTTATTGGACACTATTTTCCATTGATTTATCCATAGTTTCAGTTATTGTTGTATACATTAGGTCTTATGTTCAAAATAGTACCGTAATAGTTCCATAATTGTAAGAATCTGGCTGGATTTTTCGTGTCGTTATGCTATGAAAACAAGCTGGCAAGTCTCTACAATATAATACTGTTGTCCATTTTCAATTTTGAAGAGTAAGAACATTATCTAAAAAGTGAAAAACGTGTGTTGCCAAGGAAAAAATAGAAAAAGGGTAGAATTCCTTCAAATAAGATCAATCAAGATTCTCTAGGTTTTTTTTCAATAATGACGTCCCTTAATGTTTACAAGTCCATGAAGTCCTATGAAACTAAAAACAGCTTGATGAAGGGACAAAATATAGCTTCAAAGTAGGGCAGAACACTCGTCACAGTGAACACAAATTGTTCTCTTATAAATTTTAATTTTTTGTATAAAAAATATAATTAATTAATATGTTGCATAAGTTAAAAATGTGTCAATAAGTGTGTTGCATTTATAAAATTGGATTCAGGTCAAGTTCTTCAATCATAGTCATCAAATTAATTGTTAAACATCATGCCATGGTCGTTGGTCTAACTTTCTCTAACCTTGTATTAAATACATTTTTTGATAGAATTTTTAAAGGTTATTATGGCTTGTCATTGTTAAATAAGCTCTTGCATTTGATCATCTAATAACTTGTCTGTTAGACACATTTTTTCTTCTTTAAAATTTTTACATATGAACTTTAAAATTTTCAGCACTCATATTGTGGTTTATGTTCAGTTTATAGTAATGCTTCACCCTTTTGAACTACATGAAGTATTTATGACATGGGGCATGACTTTTGTTGTAGGTGTTCTTCTACTTTCCACTACTGCTCTATTCAGCATCCCCTTTTGAACTACATGAAGCTTGAAGAAATATAAAAAATAAAGCTTAAGCTTTAGATATTTAGTTTAGTAGAAAGAAGTTTAGTTTGGCGATTATGAAGACTTTATTTCAGCATGGATGAATGTTGATTTTACCACCTGAAATATTAAAGATATTTCAGCAATTAAAAAATAAATTTCATCAAACATAAAAAAAAAGTAGCACATGGAAAACAATTTCAGCACATTTAATTTCTGCAAATAAATATTTAATTTAGAACAATGAAATTCAGCCAATGCAAGATCACCTATAGTAAAATATATTTCTGCAATATGAAAATCTAATTTTCAGAGCATGCAACTTTCTCAAAATAATTTTTACATATGGAATAATTATGTTTAGCAACTTGCAATACAGCCATTAAAAGGATAATTTCAGCTTGGACTTGAATAAATTTCAGCAAATGAATTTTAACAAATGCTCAAATAGATTTTAGCATATGCTGAAATGAATTTCAGCAAAAAAGAACAAGGGTTTAGAGGATAAATATAGATATTGCTCCACCAAATTGGATGAAAAAAATTTTATGAAAATATGATGCAGCCCCTTTTATTTTAAATAGCCTTCTGGAAGAGAAATCCTGACAATTGCAGCCATCCAGAATTTGGTTTAGCCATATTTTGGGAGAGGAAAAAAAAGCAACTGTATGCTCAATTTGGCTTTTGTGTAGAGAAAGAAAATATTTTTTCTTGATTTTTTATCTTGCAATGATAAAGAATGAGGTGAAAGTATTTCTGCGGTTTGGGGCTTTTACATACATACCAGCCGGTTCTTATGCATTAACATATCTAACGCTTAAGCATTATTTTTTTATATTTCTCCCCCATAAATTTTTTTATATTATGCCATACTTTTTTATTATTTTACCTGCCAGTTCATTCGAAGCTGAAGAATAATGAGCTCTATTATCGCAATCGTTTACTGTCCTATCAAAACTGCTCCTTGAGGAATTCCCAAACTGATCCGATGAGAAAGGATTCCAGAAATAATCCCACATAGAAGTTTGAGGCGATGAGAATTGATAGCTTGATCTATTGTAAGGAGAAGAGAAGAATGATGCTCTATTAACTGATGAAGATTGTGACACAAAGAAACCATTCATACCAAGACTTTCCCCGGGATAGTAGGATTAGAGATGCACAGCTTCATGTGGCTCTAGCCATTCTTCAACAGCAAGGTTATGTTCAGTAATTAGATATGTTGAATTAAAATTTATTCATTATTAAAACAAGGTTATGTTCAGTAATTAGATATGTTGATATACACGAATTGTGTGGTACTTATGTAAATGTACCTAATTGTTTTTGCCTTGCTTATCCTGTGTTTGAGTTGATACTGTTGTCGTGTTCCTCTATTTTCTTTTTCGTCAAGGAATATTTACGACATTCATTCAATTTCATCTTGAGGCATTTTGAGCATGGAAATCAATACAAGTAGCAGGTTTATTCAATTTCTATTTGTTTTTGGAATTTTCTTTCTTGATCAACTGTGACTGATGTATTCTTTCTTTAATAATTGTAGAACAATGAGCTCCAGGTATTCAGGGAAGTCCGGGCGAGTGCTATGTTGGTGCGGATTGTCGTCCTTATTACTCATGTCACACCAACAACATAGCTATGGGCGATAGTTCTACAGGTGCCCGCGGTGGGCAGACGACAGGACGACTATAGGTTTTTTAGCTGGGCAGACAGTCTGGTGGATTCAACGGTATCCCAAACAGAAAATGTTGCTCAAGGCTCGACGGTATCCCAAACGGAGAACGCCGCTCCAGGTATCCCAACCGGACACAGTTGCTACAGGTTCAACTGTGTTCTAATCGGACAACGTTCCTCGTGACATGCTCCTACATTTTAAATGAATATGGTCATTTTTTTGCTTCTAATTTTAACATTTTATTTTATTTCTTTTTTTTTGGTTTCTTGATACTCACTATTAAGTGAGGTGTATATCATTCTTTCCGGTTGTTTTTCAAATGGTAGTTGTTCATGTTGTAGAAGCTATGATTGTATGGTATAATGGAGTAATGTAATTGTTCTTATCAATCTATATTTAGTTGTGTTATTGTTACTCTATCTATCGATCTATATTTTGTGGTGTGTATTGCTAGACTTTTATGTGTGTAGAATAATATGACTTTATTCAACATAATAATAAAGGTTTTGATGATGATACAAATTATAAATTGCAAACCTGGTTGTTAAAATCAGAATGTTTCCTACGAGTATTGTGAGATATGTGGTTTCGAATGACCTCTAATAGAGTTGGGAAATGCTTGGAAAAAAAGGGTATTAAGAAAAAAATTGGAAACTTTTGTGATTTATGTAAAATTTTTGGTTTAAGGTTTTTTGGTTTAAGTTTAAGGTGGTGCGTTCATTTGTATAGCTGTTAGAATCATATGATCATTTATTTGGTTTGTCATACTTAATTAAAAAATTGAAGGGAAAAAGAAATGATCATTTATCCAGAAACAACATCAAATCATATGTTTTCCAAACGCAGATACCAAACACTTACACAGCGCACCCAAATAAGGGACAAAATGATTATTTATCCAGAAATAACTGCAAATTAGCTGTTTTTCAAACACACAATTCAAACAACCAAATAGCTTATCCGAATCAGCTGTTGATCAACAATTTATCTGGATCAACAATATATCAGCATAAGCTGGATAGGCAGTAGCTGCCCCAAACAGACCCTAAATAAGAGCTAGAAAGGGGACATGTCACACGCAACTTCGTCTGAAATTTCACCTAGATTTGTGCTTTCAAATTTACATGCTTCTTACTGATTATTCATTTAGGATGATGGGAGAGTGGGAGCTCATGTAATGTTTATATTCAAGATAAGTAGTTGACAATATTTTAATATAAAAATTGTATTTTAAATTTTGAATATAAATGTCATTAATCTGGTAGTTTTAATTAAAAGTTCAATGCTCTGCTTGTATGATTATAATTGCTGGATGGATGATTTAAATTGCTATTGTTAAATAAATTTGAAAAAAAAAAATGTAAAAGTTTTATGGGAAAATTACTTTTTACATTTCTACCACCCCGATCTTTCATATCATATAAGAAATAATATTATTTTTACTTTTAAAAGTTAACTACATCTTCTTATGCATACATAGATAAGCTGACGAATATATAAAAGTTGAAGTTTAGCATTTGATATGTAAATACATAGCAAGTGTGATCTTGGTTAATTTTATTATGGTTTAAAAATAATTATACAAGAGGTGTAGAGAAAGGGTATAAGAAAAGTAAGCATTACATCATCCCATTTTGAATGTTTAGGCATCGATTTAATAAATTTATAATTATTGCTTACTAGAAAATTATTAATATTCCAATGATCCATTATATAATTGAAATTATAAAATTTCACTTTCTCCACAACTACAAATGACATCATGAAAAGAATATAATTTTTTTTCGCAAGTGATATTAGTTAGACAATAATAAACTGAAGATAATAATTATACGACAACACTTGTAGTTAGGCTACAACACGTAATAGCCCGAGCTATCAGCCATTTAAATGTTATTCGTTTTGGCTTAATTGCCTCACAATTTTGTCACATTGGCGTAGCTTATATGGTCACCCATATTTATAGTGCTCCCATGAAAGCACACTTTAAGTTTGAAGTTTCTAATAAGATTTTGACTTATACATCAAGAGTAACTTCGATGCTTAAATGTCTATTTATTCTATTCAAGGAGTTTTATAATTGTGTCACAAATGTCAGTTGCTTAAGTGGCATATGGTACCTCCAAAGACTAATCTTCTGAGATTTTTTTGTATGCATGTACCTTCTCAGACATTTGCTTTTAGAGATTTAGAGATTTTTTAGTTTACATGTTTTTTTATAGGACTATTTTAGCCCATATTAAAAGAGTATAGGGATTAAATTATTATTTTTATAAATGCTGAGACTAAAAGGTCAATTGTGCACTTTTCTCTTCACATACTCTTATTGACACTTTATTCTTTAAAGAATTTGCAATATGAGAAATGCCCACGAAGCGGCGGTGATTTAAACTTTGTTAGAATGTTATGTTTATTAAACACAAAAGTAACTACAAGGTTGGACGAGTACATTTAATGACGTCTAGGCTACTGTAACAAATCGGGTTTACAGCAAGTTTATTAATTAAAGAAGAGCAACTAGCAATTAACATGATATTGCCAAAAGAACTAAATTCTCTAACCCTATTTGACACATTCCTTAAAGAGTGTCTGGAAATCTTTTACTTGTATCGAAATTACTTGATTGACTAAGATAACTTGCCCAGCTTGCCAAATAAATTCACTGAAGTCTCAAACCTATTCTTCTGCTCAAAGAAAAGTTTTGGGAAACTTCATCCAATCTATTCCTCTACTTGGGACTTGCTATGAAATTCTCTACGTATTTTTATAGGTTCAGGTTAGCGAAACATTATAAGGTTTACTGTTGCATTGAAGCAGAACAACCGAAGCTCTAACAGGAGAACTGGGAAGCACCAAAAATGCCATTACGAATATTGAAATAATCTCATTACATACTTTGCTACAGGATATAAGTAATACATAGATGTTTCTAGAAAGGTAGAGGTGGTCCCATGTGTGGTTGTTATTTTCAGAAGGTAGTGGAGAGTGAGTCTCACATGGAGAGTGCTGCAGCTGTGTGACTCTTTATGAATATGTTGGTCAGTTGAGCTGATGTAGAGAATTTGAATGTCGCCTAAGTAGGCGTAGTCATGAATAAAATGGTAGTCTATTTCAATATGTTTTGTATATGCTTTGAAGATGAGATTGAGAGCGATAGCGATTGCTGTTGTGTTATCACAGTGGATTGGTGTTCGGCTGGTAGCGCGAATGTTGAATTCCTTAAATAGTCCTTGAAGCCAGATGACACCAGTTGTGGGAGCAACAAGTGTGCGGTACTCGGCTTTTGTGGAGGAGTGAGTTACCATTTTCAAGGCTCAAGTAAGTACATTTCAAAAAGAAGTCTAAACAGAACCTTTTCAGAACAAACCCTTTCATAAACTAAAATATTTTTTTAAAATGAAGTAAATTTGAATTCTTTTCAAAAATAATTGAAACCTTTTCAAAACAAAATCCTCTTGTAAGTTCATCATATATATTGATTCTCATTCCAAAATTAGACAACATTGCAAATCCGTTGAATAACTAAATTACACAAGACTTATACCTGCGTTTATCACTGGACCATGAATGAAAATGTCCTCCTTTAGAATTATGTAATTGATAAGCTTATCTATAAAACATACAAGTATTGAGCAATTTCATACTTACACATTTTCTCACATCAACTCACTCACACACTTAAAAGTTATTTTTGTGTGGCAAAAATATTTTGCAAAATTATCTTTTCATAGGTGTGAAAATCTTGAAAATTAAGCTTGTATATGATACTTCAGTGTGAAGAGTGCAAGCAGGAAAGGTTTGAACACGAGACCTCTGCTCGTATATAAACTTCAACATAGAATAGTAAATTAAATGCTATAAGTCAAACGTATGAGAAAAGTCATAGAAAACACCAACTCGGCATCAAAACTTGAACTTAGAAGACCCTAATTTTCACAATGACTGATAGACTAAGTGCTGAAATAAATCATGAATTAAATATCAAACCCCTAAAACAATTCTAAAATACACCATTAAATCATAGAAGCCATCACTAGCAGATTAACTGTGAACCCTAAGTTAGCCAACTTAGAAATAAAATCTAGGATCATAAACACCTAGAATAGTCCAATCTAGAAGCCCAAGTTAGAATTTTACCTTTACATTTTTACTACCAAGATCTTTCATATGATATACAAAATAATATTATGTTAACATTTAAGAAATGAGATACAACTTTTTATGCATAGATAAGGTGACCCCTACGTAAAAGTTGAAGTTTAAGTATTAGATAAGTAAATACATAGGAGCTGAGTGGTATGTATGTAAATCTTTGTTAATTTTATTGTGTTTTAAAAATAATTATACAAGAGGTGTATAGAGAGGATATAAGGAGAATAAGCATTACATCACCTTATTTTGAATGCTTAGTTATCTATTTAATAAAACTAAAATTGTTGTATACCAGAAAAATCTTAATGTTGGAGAAAAACTAAGTATTAGATTAATAAAAACATCTAGCAGATGCACTAGTAGGAGTGGTAGGAGACTAAAATTTTTACATAAAAAATCTAAGGGGAAAATTATGAGGTTTAGTAAAATGAACCATTATAAAATTGAAATTATTAAATTTCATTATTCTCCACAACTAAAAATGATATGAATAAAAGAATATGAATTTTTTTCTTGCAAGTGATGATAGTTAGACAATAATAAACTGCAGATAATAATTATACAACAACACTTAATAGCCCGAGCTGTCACCCATTTGCATATTGTTCACTTTGACTTAGTGGTCTCACGATTTTGTCCCGTTTGTGTCACCTTCAAGGTCACACATATTTATAATGTTCCCTTATGGGCACTTTCTACTAAAAAAATTTAATGCTTACAATAAAAGGCACCTCAATGCTTAAATATTGTCTACTTCATTCCATTAAAGCTAGGGGTTTCATAATGGTATCACAATCACCAATTACTTAAGTGAGAAATTTGATACCTTCGAAGATTAATCTTCTGAGATTTTTTAATATGCAATTATGTTTCGAG